TGCTGCTGTATCAGGGGCTGACGAACGGCTTCAGTCAGGCAAGGGGCAAGAAAGGGTCATACAACCCTGACATATAGCAACACAGTGTTGGGTGTCCTACACGACACAACTCAGAGTGTGGTTCGGGAGTACGGAAGAAGAGGAAGGGAGGGAGGCAGAGAGGTGGGAAGGCCCCAACTGGAATTGCCGTGGGTAGTGGTGAGCTCTGCCAGCTCTGGAGTGAGCTCCCCAAGACAGGACGGGGCCCTTCCTACAGGTGAGTGGGTGCCATGGGAGGACATCTGTCCAGGAATACTCCCCCGCCAAGGCTCCCTGCCAAATATTTTTCCTGCCAATGCTTAAAGTTTCATCATTAGACATTTATTCTTATCTATTTATCTCCTCCCCCTTTTAAGTACTTTTTCTATAATAAATGTCAAACATGCTTCTAATAGAAAACTTGGAAGATACAAAGGAGGATACAAACAGTTTTTACCCACACTCCCAAGCTCCAAGGCACCCGCTATTAATATTTTGGTGTCTTTCTGTGCCCTCTTTTTTTGTTGTTTTCAGGCACAGTTGTGACTGTCCTGTGTGGGGACTCTGAAGCCACTTCCCCCACTTAGCTTCAGTCCCATTCCAGTCTGATGTTCCAGAAACATCAAGTCCCCCAGCACCAAGTGCCCGTGAGTTCTGTGACCTTCAGGAAGTGATCCCCCTTTCTGGACTTTGGTCATCTGTATAATGGGGACAGTGATGACCAATAAGCTACCTCACAGTGCTCTAGAGTCAATGCAAGTGGCGTGTTGCAAAGGCATCGCCAATACGGTTCAAAGGTGTGGGACCGATGGATATGTCGGACAGAACTAGCCAAAATGAGGCCACAGCCAAGAGGATGGGGAAGGACAGGGGGAGGGACAGGTGAGCAAGTCTGAGTCAGCCAGTCCGAGCCTCCCCAGGCCCAGCCCTCCTGGGCAGCGGAGTCTCAGGTCAGCGCGGGCACCTTCCCTCCCAGCTGCGGGGCATGCCGGCCTCACTGCGCGCGGGGCCAGAGCCATCGCCAGCGCGGGCAGGAGGGAAGTGAGAGGAAGGGGCCGGCCTGGACTGCCGCATTCCCGCTCGCTCATGGCCTGGCGATGAGCTCCCAGGATTGTCCCACTGCTGCTCTTTGGAGGGGTTGGGAGGCCTGGGGGACCCGGGGCCAGACAGAGATGGATGGCTCCTGAAACTTTGCTCCAGGTAGGTGGCCTGGCCTGTGGGCAGTGTGGGGTGGGGGAGACACCAGAGCTGGATTTGATGCCACCATGGCAAGCCTTTCAGCTCCATGTCTGTAACCTCCCAAGTGTATGGGTGTGTGTGTGAGCGCACAAGGGGACGAGAGGACTCCAACCCTGAGGGCTGGCCGCCTGGGGCTGCGTAATGGAGACAGGCAGCTGCATGTGGATGTCTGAGAATGCTGTCCGTGCATACCTGTGCGAACGTGTAGCTCCAGAAGCCGCTGTGGGGCTGCCTAGGAATTTAGACATCCGTGGGGGAGGTGTGGGGCTCTGCGTGTCCCTGAATGCCTGGACTTGGGCTGGAGCATGTGTCTGAGCTTAGGAGGGAGTGCTTCTGTGAGCACACATCGTGTGTGACAATTTATATCTCTACGGCCCCATAAAAAGGCCACAGACGAAGGTTATAAAATGGCGTCCACATGTTTCCTCAGTATCTACTATGTGCTGAGTCCTGTGCCAGGCTCTGGAGACACAGAGAGAATTAAAACTCAGGCCCGCCCTCGAGGAGCCCACGGAGCAGAGCAGCACACCGTTTATGGCACAAGGCTGTTCGTCCTGAGGGCCACTCCTCATGTCCTTCCTCAGGGATCCCACAACCATGGAATGATCTGTTTTCACCTCCGTCTCCTCCTCCATTCTGTGAGCCCCTCGAGGATCGGCACTTAGAAGGAACATGATACTCTGTAAGGGTGCATAATGCAAAGGCCACTGTGAATCAGGCTGTGCCTGGGTGGCCCTGAGCCAGCCAGCTAGTCTTGAGCCACAGCCAGTGCAGACGGTCCCACTGGGGCTGGGCTCAACTCCTGCTGCCACTACTACAACTGGGCCACTGCATCAGCTACTTAGGCTCTCCCAGCCTCAGATTCCTCATCTGTGCAATGGGGATAATGATTATTCCAGCCTTCCAGGGTGTTTGAGGTTTCAGTGAGACCATGGGCCAGGCATGGCACACACATGCGCACATGCACACACACAGAACTTGGAACATGAGAGCTGCTGTGGAATTACCAGCAACAAGGAGCTGCCGCCTGGGCAGTTCTGTGCAGCCTTGTTGACCAGGAAGGGAGAAGCAGGACACTGAAGCCTCCATTGGCAAGCTGGGGGTCACCCCGGTAGTCGGAGACCTGACACGGTTCTAACCTCAGGAGGAAGGAGCCTAAGGGTCGGGTCCACACCATTGGCTGGTGGGGGCTCAAGAGCATGCATCTGAACACTTTCTACATGGTTTTCACTCTCCAACCACTGAACCGCTGATGTCGCTATCAAATCTTTGTTTTTGTTCTTGTTGTTTGTTTTGTTTTGTTTGACAGGGTCTAGCTCTGTCACTCAGGCTGGAGCGCAGTGGCATCCTCATAGCTCAGTACAGGTTTGAATTCCTGGTCTCATGCATGTGATCCTCCCACCTCAGCCTGCTGAGTAGCTAGGACTACAGGCCTGTGCCACCAGGCCTGGCTGATTTTTTTCATTTTTTTTAAAAGATGAGGTCTCACTATGTTACCCAGGCTGGTCTCAAACTCCTGGCCTCAAGCGATTCTCCTGCCTCAGCCTCCCGAGTAGCTGGGACTACAGGCCTGTGCCACCAGGCCTGGCTGATTTTTTTCATTTTTTTTAAAAGATGAGGTCTCACTATGTTACCCAGGCTGGTCTCAAACTCCTGGCCTCAAGCGATTCTCCTGCCTCAGCCTCCCGAGTCCCTGGGATTACAGGTGTGAGCCACTGTGCCCAGCTTCCATCGAATCTTTGGTGCTTCCACCAACCTCTTTGTATCACCAGCTTGGGTAAGCTGGGTTGATGTCCATTGGGTTGACGTTTAGTGGGTAACATTTATAATATGAAATGCTGAAAATGTGTCACTTTGGAAGAATGTGCCCTCTTCACTTCTCCATGCACGTGCATGCTTGTGTGTGCTTATAGGTGTGAGAACAGGAGGGGAAACTGGGGCAGCCCAAGCTGGACCCACTCTCTCCTTACCTGCCCACCCTTGGGTGCCAACAGGTGGTGGCTGGGGCCTGGTGGGGTCTCTCTGCCACTCCAGTCCATGGCTCTACCTCCTCTCTGACTCACACTGGTCCAGCTCAGGCCCCTCTTCCTGTAGGTCTCCTTGATCTTGATTCAAGGTCTTATCAGTGACGCGCTGAAGCTGGGTCCGACTGGCTCACGGAGCCGACTACGCACAGCTCTTTCTAACTCCGGTGATCAGGCACAACACCATATTGGTAGCTTGAAATCAGTCATGGTGGAAGTACTTAAGAGGCAGAAATCAAGAAATGATATAAATCAGACACCCATCCTCTCACCCCTGCCCCAACCAGTTGTAAATTCTACCGGTCCTGCCTGAAGTTACAACAACCGATACGGAGTGTCAGCACCGGCCAGGCATTTGACATCTTATCTGCACAGAAATCCTGTGAAACATTTCTCATCATCCCCATTTCATATCTGGGGTGCAAAATTTACATAATTTGACTCCAGGTCTTTGCACACCACACTGAGCCATTTGGTCTCAATAAATAAAACCATGAGGTCTGATAGGGCTGGCAGAGACATTAAAAGATCATTGGGTCATCTAACCACCCTGCTCATTTGACAGATAAACTGACCCCCAAGAGGCTCACTGTGGCCGGGGCTTCTCTGTTAACGCAGCCTAACATTGCAGCTGCTGTCTTCCCAACACTTCTCCCAGCCCCCACCATGCTGGTGTCCACTGCAAAGCCAAGGTCGCTGTCACCTGATGTTCTACATGCATGGCTGATTTTTTGGAAACTTTACATGCAGGTCTTGACATTCATTGCAAGTTATATTTTGTTTTGCTTGATTTGACCCAGTGTTCAAGATTCTCAAAAACATTTTAAAATCTCACTTGGGTCATTGGTCGTATGTCTCCTTTCTAGACTGGTACCACCCCCTGTTTTGATCACTGCACCTTCCCTGCAGGACTTGGGGTCAAACTTGAAAGAAAACAAACAAGAGGGAGCTTTGGGGCCCAACACTGGAGGTCCCCATACTATCTGATAGAGGTTCTGGCGTCCACGCACCTTGGAAATTAGGTCCCTCCTCCCCGGAGGCCCCGCCCACCCCACCGAGTCCGGATTTCTGTGCCCAGGAACATCAGCAGCATTTTGTCACATGCCCACTGAGGTCCATGCAGTGCACTTCACCAGGGCGTCCTTTCCCCTTCCCCTCTGACCCAGGGTCCCCCCAGGACTCCCCTTGCCCGGCAAGAGGGTCCCCCAGGCCATTCGACCCGGCCCTGCCCTCAGAGTCCCGGGACTGCACAGAAGATACCAGCACTGCTGGGCAGGAGAGAGAGTAACCACGCGACGGGCGAACGTTCCACAGACTCCAGGCGCATCCCGGCTCTTATCACTCCACCTCCTCCACCTCGGAGGAGAGATTGCGCGTTCCTCCGCCTCAGCCCGGAGAGGCAGAGCCCCCTGAGTACCCGCTCCGTGCCCCGGTCCCCGCCTCTCCAGGCCCGGGGGCTTCACGTTCAGCGGCGCGTCCTCCGGCTGGCGCGGCGCCAGGTGAGCGCTCACCTGGGCCGGCGGGAGGGGGAATAGGGGCGGGGCGGGAGCGGGCCCGGGGCCGCGGCCCCACCCACGACGGGGCGGAGCGAGGACGGCGGGGCCAATGGAGCGGGGGGCTCGCCGCTCGGGGGAGGGGGCACCGCCTGCGCCGCTCCCTCCCTCGGCAGCGCCCGCCCCGCCCCGCCCGTGTTTAAAGCCCCGCGGGCGGCTGGTGGCGGCGCTGCGAGCGCTGAGCGGCGCGAGGAGATGCTAGAGGGCGCCGCGCCGCCCGCACCATGCGCCCACCGCCCGCGCTGGCCCTGGCAGGGCTCTGCCTGCTGGCGCTGCCCGCCGCTGTCGCCGCCTACTTCGGGTCAGTGCCCGCCGTGCCCCCCGCCCGCACCCTGGCCCGCCAGTCTCCCCTCCTGCAGCTACGGCAGGGCCAATTTCCCCCTCCTGGTGTCCCTCGGCCCCGCGAGGTCTCGAACTCAGACTCGAGCCCGGCGGGACCCAGCCCACCTCGCAGTCGGAGTTCTCTCCCCGAGCTCCGTCTCTGGCTTCCTCCGCTCAGACTCCGATCGCACCTTCTAGCGTCCGAGTCTCTAGTCCCCTCCTCCGCCGCCGTCCTCCCCCTGCCCAAGGTCGCGGACTCTGCGCGCGCCTCGGACCCTAGCCCTGTCCGCCCCGGCGCACCCTGACCCTGTCGTTCCAGGCGTCAGTCCCGCGCTCTGATGCCCTCTCCGGGTCCTCACTCGGCTGCCCTGTCTGCCCTCATCCTGGGCTCCGTCGAGCCGCCGCCCGCGCCTCGGACTCCTTCCCCCCCGGCTTCGCCTTGCGGAGCGGAGACCGGGAGAGCTGGGTTGCTTCCAAGGCCGCTAGCAGAGGACCATCTGGTCCAAGGGGAACAGGGGAACCCTCGGGCCGTGGGAATGTCAGCTGGAGATGCGGCAGGGAACCGCGTCCGCTGGGGAACTGCGAGCAGATTTCGGACCTGGCATCGGTGAATTCTCAGGAGAATGCCGAAAAGAGTGATAGGGCCCGTGGCGTGTGTGTCGTGTGTGTGTGTGCGCGCGCGCACATACACATACGCGGCTAGAAAAGGAGGGTCACCGTGGGAGTGACACCCGGGGAGAGAGTGGGGCGATAACCTGCAGCGGAATGTTGGGAGCAAAAGTGATACAGGGCAATTATTCGAGTCCCTTCTTCTCTGACCCTGAATTGCAGGGACACGGGGATGGAGGGACTGCCGGTAAGAAAGCACCTTCCCACCCTCTACCCAAAGCCAAGGCCAATAAGTGCAGTCTGTTCCTTTAAAGCTTGCCCCCTTTTAAAGTCTTCACTCCAAATCAGAGTGAGGTTTACAGTCTGACTACATACAGCAAAGGCAAGAAAACACGAAGCAGGTGACCTGTGAGAGGCTGTTTTTAAGAAGTAGCCCTGGAGGGGCCGGTAAGGTCTGGGAAGTCCTGCACAGGCTGGAATAAGGGCTGTGGGCTAATTTCCAGGTCATGACCTCCCGTTAAAACGTGCCTTGCTGTGGGCAATGGCTTTCCCTGAAATATATAGGGAGGGGAGGGGAATACCAGCCCAGACCCTAACTCTGGGCTCAGCTTGCTGGTGACCTGGGAAAACAACTCAGTGTCTGGACCTTAGTTTCCCCTTTTGTACAAAGAAGGGGCTGAACCTGATATGACTGAGCTTCTAGTGACCCACCCCAAGAGCAGTGCACATACATGATGTTTGTTTCCTGAAGATTTCTGGCTTGAGGAACTGTTGCCTCAGCAGGTAGGATATAATGGGTAGGGCACTCTGGGTCCAATCTTGCCACTTGCTAGATGTGTGCCCTTGGCCGAGTTACTTAACCTTTCAGTCCTTCAGTCTTCCATCTGTAAAATGAGGATTATAGTGCTTATTTCATAAAAGAATTGAGTTAAGACATGTAAAGCACGTGGAACAGTGTCTAGCACATAGTAAATGCTCAACTAATGCTAGTGATTATTATTATTATTATTTTTATGAGGAAACCAGGTACAATATCTTGATGTCCCAGCCATGGCCGTTTTCTGAGCTGGAATGAGAAGGAGAGGACAGATGACATGGTACCTACATCCTCTTGGACACCAGCTCAAGTGGGGTGAGAGGAGAGGAGTTTCAGGAGGTCTGGACCATGCTGGCTGGTGTGCTGGAAGGGAAAGGAATTCCCAGCAGTGCACAGGGTTAGAATTTGGGGACTGTGAGCAGGGGCAGCCTTGGAAATGAGAGGGGAGATGGTCACTTAGGCCTGGGTTGGGGCTGAGAGGGGTAAGTATTCGAGTCACCTCTTCTAGGTCACGAGCCCAGCTAGAAAGAGCTGGCAAAGTACATACACTCAGGCCAACGCCATCCCGGTCTGGGGAGCAGGACAGATGCTCAGAGAATAAGCTAAAATTGGGGACTTGTGGTGTAAGTGTTGGTCTCAGAGAACAGATGAGATTCTGCCTGGGCTCTCGCTGAGGAAATTCTCTCATGATTCAGACCAGGTTTCCCAGCTTCTCATCAGACATTTGCTCTCTGGGAGGAGTCAGATATCAGTCATCCACACTGTAGTGAGAATGTGAGGCAATGTGCTTCTTCCTTCCCTGGGCCATTTGCATTTGAAGTCTCATTTCTAGTTATACCATGACGTGTTTGGCAACCTGATGAAAGAAAATTCGAACATCAGGAGAGCAGGTGAGGCCGATTTTGGTGAGGCCAAACTTCTTGGGGTTTTTGAAATCACAGAACCATAGACTTAAGAGTTGGAAGTGACTCTAGTAGGATCTCTGCTCCAACTCCCTGCTTCAAACAGGTCATGTATGATTATCTCCATTTTTCAGATGGGGCAACCCCCACCCCAAAGCACTGTGAGCCCACAGTTGCTTCTGCTGCTTGTGCTAGAGCCTAATTCTTCATGCTGACAATAACGTAATAACTAGTATTCAGTTGACAAGTCACTTTCTCATAGAGCCCCTTATCTCATCTGATCCTTGGAGCCACCCCCGAGGGACATAAGATGGGTGTAAATAGTTCCCACAAGGAAACTGAAGGTCAGAAAGGTTCAGTGAGTCACCCGATGTCACACAGCAGATTAGTGGGGGAGGCAGGATAGAAACCAGGTGCTGCCTCCAGTCTGGGCTTTTCACCCTTCGGGGAACAGCCTCCAGAGCTAGTTCTGTGCAATCCCCCAGGGGAGCATTGGCTGCAGGGGAGCTGCCAAGGGTGGAGAGTGGAGGGTAGACTGCTTGGTTAACTCTTCCAACTCTCTTGGCCGTGGTAGGCTAGGTGAGGCCACAACATTCTTCTCCGTCCTCAGCAGTGAGACAGGATGCTCTGAGCCCTGCTGGGCTGTCAGGTGGGCTCGGAGGATGGCATGGTGGCAGCGGGACAGGAGGTGGACCAGAGGTCAGGGGCTGAGTTTGTCCTGGCTCTGGGACACTCCCTGGGTTGTCCTTGGTCAAGTCACTTGTCTCCAGGGTCCTTAGCACCTGGAGGTCCTAAGGTTCCCTAACCCTACCAGGCCTGCTGCTGGCTCTAGAAATCTAGGATTACCCAAGAGCTTATATTTTGGCTTGGATGACTTGGGAATTCTGCAGATATTAACTTCTGTGATGTTTTATAAATGAACATGTGCATTATGCGATGAGAAGGGCACACAACAAGCCCTGTCACACAATCCAGTCCTTAAGTCATCCCAGCGGCTTTGTAACTAACTAGAAATAGGTCCTGTGGATGCAACTTTTAAAATCATGGTTGATTTTTGGTGATGCTTTTGTGTGACCTCTGCAATGGTTCAGTTGCTTTCCTCTCTAGGGACAGAATAGAGAAGTTTATGAAAGCACAAGATTTTGAGTCTGGGGTTTGAATCTCAGCTTTGCCTGTTGCTAGCTGTGTGATGTTGGGTGAATGTCTTAGTCTTGCTGAGCCCCAAAGGATCCCTTGTAAATCTTCGCAGTCAACCCTCCCCTACCAGTCCCAGGCTACCCCACTTCTCTGCTTCCTGTAAATTAGTTTTGCCTGTCCTAGAAGTTTATGTAAATGGAATCATATGGTACGTAGCCTCTCGTGCCTGGATTATTTTGCTCAACATGTATTTGAGATTCCTTCACGTTGCTGCATATGTCAATAGCTCACTCCTTTTTATTGCTGAGTACCCCACTGTATGGCTGAACCACAAATTGTTTCTTTGTTCCCTGTTGATGGACATGTGGGTTATTGCCAGTTTCAGGCTGTTCCAAATAAAGCTGGTATAAACATTCATGTACATCTCTTTTTGTGAATACATGTTTTCCTTTCTCTGGATAACTGTCTAGGACTGGATTATCAGATCATTGCGGTTTTAATTTGTATTTTTCCATTGATGAATGGTGTGTTGAACATTTTTTATGTGCATATTGATTATTTGAATATCATTTTTATTGAGTTACTAATATTCATCCTCTTATTGAATTGTAAGAGTTCTTTATATATTTTGGATTCATGTCCTTTGTCAGAAAGTATTGGCAATATTTTATTTCTGTCTACGGATTGCCTTTTCATTTTCTTATTGGTGTCTTATGAAGAGGTGAAGTTTTTAATTTTCATGAAGTCCAACGTATCAAACTTTTCTTGCGGTTTGTGTGCTTTTTTGATGTCCTATTCAAGAAATCTCTGTCTACCCAAAAGTTGCAAAAGTTTCCTCCTGTATTTTCTTCTAGAAGCTTCCTAATTTGATCTTTTACACTTAGGTCTATAATTCATTTTTGAGTTAACCAGTGTGTATGGTGTGAGGTAAGGGTCCAGGCTTGTCGTTTTCCACATGGAGATCCGCTTGTTTCAGTACCATTTGTTGAGAAAAAATGATGTTTTCTTCATCACCATTTTTGTTGCAAATCAATTGATCCAATATGTGTGTGGGTCTATTTCTGGACTATTCTGTTCTGTCTATATGCCTGTCCTTATGCCAGTACCACACAATCTTGATTACTGTAGCTTTATAGTAAGTCTTGAAACCAAGTACTGTAAGTTCTCTAACTTCTTTTGCAAAATTGTTTGGGCTTTTCAGGAACATTGTATCTCTACATAAATTTTAGTAGCAACTTGTCAATATCTCCAAGAAAACCTGCTGGGTTTTTTATTGGGATTGCACTGAATCTATAAATCAATTTATAGAAGATTGACATTCTAACAACATTGAGTCTGTTGATTCATAAACATGTCTCTCTATTTAAAAATGCCTCTCTGTTTCAAGGGCTTTTAAAATTCCTCTGGCAGTGTTTTAGAGTTTTCAGTGTGCAAGCCTTGCAAATACTTTTTTAAAAAATGATTCCTAAGTGTTTTATGCATTCGGATGGTATTGTTTTTATTTTTAAAAAGCCC